ACGGCGAGTAAACGACTCGACTGTCAAGGTGAGACAACATGAGGAGTCGACAACCCCGCCGATTCATCAAGACAATTTGACGAGCAAACGACCCGACTGCCAAGCCAAGATAACTCGGCGAGCAAACGACTCGACTACCAAGCTGAGATATGTTGACGAGTAGGCGACTCGGCTACCAAGTCGAGACGAGCTGACAAGTGAATGATCCCATTAATTCGTTGAGTGCTCGTCTCGGTAGCCACACCCGAAGCAATCTTCGTATTTCTCGACTTACCGAGTAACTCGACAACGGACTGGGGGGACTTACTGTAGGAGGTGGATTTCCTTATCCTTCAGGGCTCACTGTATAACAGAAACACTCCACTTAGAAGCGACCTAGATCGGCCCACCAGCCAATTACATCTCGGCTCGGCTTGAGTCAAATCGTCCATGCGACTAAACGACGAGGAGTAGCCGAATGCGAGTATACTTCAATGGGCCGGCCAGGATGCCCATTAGCGAGAGGCCTCTTAAGGGACGCCAATCTAGGCCATTTAGGGTGGAAGAGCACACTATAAAGAAAGAGAGGACGAGGCAACGAGAAAGAGGATCTGAAAATCAAGCACTCACCTACAAGACGGCTAGAATTAAGGTTTTACCTCTTTGTTTCTTTTTGACTTGTACTTTTACGACTAACTCTCCGAGTGACGCCGTCTCGTCTCGTTTGTTTCCTCATTTGTACATCAACTCTCTCATCAATAAACTTACTATTCCACTCATAAATAGTAAAACGCCTTTGAAATAACTTACCGACGAATCTTATTACTTTCTTTACTGATACATGACCGAATTCGGTTCAAACAAGTGCTACATAAAGAAAAATTAGTTAAAGCCTATTTATATTGTATTAGTGTGGTTGACGGAGGGTTAGGTGGTTTAGGCGACCAACTTTTCGTGTTCTTCTTGCTTGGTAATTATTTGTAATGTATTCTATTTGCACTCTTTTCATTATTAGATAATCATGTAGTTTGAATCAACATCTATTCATTTTGCATCCATGATTTCAGATAAGAAAGGACAAGCAAATATTTGTTTCAATTTTTTAATTCTCTTACGATCTTTCATTTATTAGATTGTATTTTGGATCAATATTAGTTTTGCATCCACCATATGATATATGCGCAAGTCCTATAAAATCAACTCATTGCTATTTAGTTACCAATCTTTCATCTACCTTACTTTATACCAGAACTAGCATATAATATTTCATATTTTATGTAAACAATAAAATATATCACTATATCTAGAGATTATTACTTCTTTACATTACATTTATTAAAAATACAACCACTTCATCAATGTTTTTTCTTTAATAACACGTTTCGTCAATTTAATATTTTAAGATGTAGCTAAGATTAAGATACATATATTAAAAATGTTATAAGCTCATTTAAAAGTGTATTGTCTGGCATATAGTATTAACTAGGTGACCGGTCCGCACCCTGTGCAGGCATAAGTATGTTCAAAAAATTATTATAGTAGTGTATCGTTTTAGAAGTAACGGACTGTACATCATCATACTACCATGTTTTGGAGAAACCCTACACCATGAAGAAAAGCCGGTACTCAATATTTGACATTGTATGAGAGGGTATAAAATAATGCACATGGTGCGAACAGTTATTATGTGTATGTATAATTGTAAAGTCTCAAAATAATTAGTGTGTTTTACGAAAATATTTTCATTCGTCATCTAATGGATTTGCCAAAACTTCTTATAAATAGTGTACAGTTTTAGAAGTAACATATTTTATATTATCCTTTGTAATTAGAATTGTATTGTATATATGTTGTAATTTTTATTTTTAGGTGAATAATAGTATTATGTTTAGTTTTCATAATTATTTCTGTACACATATTAAAAGAAAATATAATAAATTTCAAAATAAGCTCCCAAAATTCAATTTAAATTATTATCCATAAATAATATAAATTTATGAAGTACAAAATCTCGATAAAGGTGTAGCAAATCCATTAGACACCTGCAAAAAAATATTTTAGTTTGTAAGCCCTAAGACAGGATAACATTATGTGATAGATATAAAATAATTTCTGAATTTTATTATTTGATGCTAATAAGTATAAAACTAAAAACAGAGACACTGGGAAAATAAATAAAAATTAAAGAAAACATGCACAAATCAAATACTGAGATTCATCCACTTTGACATGCAGCATGGACTTCAACTTTCTCCATTTCTTTTGGAGTATTAAGCAGCTCATATAAGAGTCCATTAATGCTTCTATAACAAGAGGTCCAGGTTTCAAATTTCCGGAAAAAACGATTTATTAAACAATTATGCAGGATAGTAGTATTGTCGGTTGTCGAATCGTCTATGTAATATTTTTCATAAAATATCATGATAAATCAGCGTTAAAAAAAAAAAAAACAAAAACAAAATAGTTCCTAGCAAAATTTAGTCTAGGCAACATTAAAAAAAATATTTTAACACTAAACCCTAAACTCTAATCCTAAACCCTAAACTCTAATCCTAAACCCTAAACCCTTGGGTAAATCATAAACACTAAACCCTAAACTCTAATCCTAAACCCTAAACCCTTGGATAAATCATAAACACTAAACCCTAACTATAATCCTAAACCCTAAACCCTTGGGTAAATCATAAATATTAAATTTTTAAAATACTATAAGATTTATCTAAAGGTTTATGATTTAACCATGGATTTAGGGTTTGTGATTATAGTTTAGGGTTTAATGCTAAAATATTTTCTTTAAAAAGAATTATTTTCGTTTTTATTCATTTTTATTTATTTATTTATTTTCTATTTTTATTTTTAAAAACATAATATAACTTAATAAGATTTTTTTTCCTTTTTAAAAAAGATATCAAATATGAAATAATGTAATCCTATTGGATGGGTTCACCCTATGGGGTGAACCCAAGAATAAGTCTATTCCAATTCATCATATTTGAGAACATTAAATTATTTTTGACCACGGATATCAATAAAACTATGTAGAGAAATGTCTTTGAATTGTAGTATCAAATATGGTTCCAAGATTGCTCTGGATGGATTTGTTTTCTTTTATAGAAATCAATAAGATTTATTTCTTAAATTTTCTTTATTTTATGATATATAAAATCTCAGTCTTCCACATCATCCCATTAGTACTTAAAATATTGAAATAGTATTATTCACTTAGCATATGTGCACTGGAAGTTTTTGTAATTAGAATCTTGAAAAAATGTAAACACAAATTATATTGATATTTAATTAGATGGTCTTCTTAAAAGCTTTACAATTCTATTCTAAAATCTCTCAAATAATTTTCTTAAAAAATCATCTAAGAAAATATGAAGATGTTAATTAATTAGGTTTATCAATTGTTGAAACCTGATACTCATGTCTCCGGCCATCACTCAAGTCGTAAAGGGCCTTAAAACTACACATGTATACGGAAAACAACCAGCTTCTTTGTTACACAGTCAAGAAGGCTTCAGTGAAACTTGCTATCGTATCAATTTTATTATACAAAGAGTAAAGACTTAATCACCAGTAAGTGAAACTCGTTGTCATATATATGCTAATCACCAAACAAAGTGTCACTCAAGCATATTGCAACTTATGTTGCTCTCTCTCTCTCTCTCTCTCTCTCTCTCTCTCTCTCTCTCTCTCTCTCTCTCTCTCTCTCTTTCACTTAGTCATTATAGATGATTCAGTGCGACCTAAACCGTTGGCTTTTTTTACATTAGAAGAAACCCAGCAGGTTCAGTTCTTGCAGCATAACCAAACTTGGATGTGTTGTATTTCCTGTAAACACCTGTTAGCTTCCCTGTCCCAGCCTTGTGATGCAAGCCAACCATCTTCCTCGAACACTCCAGAAGCTTTTCTTCGTTGTAGCCTGAGTAGAACTCGCAGGTCTTGCTCCACTCTTCGAAGCCTTTAAGAGTGGACTGAGCAGTGTAGATCGCTGAAGCAGCTAACTGAGAAGGAGCGTACTGAAGCATCTCGTAGTCCACTAAGCAAAGCTCTATGATGAAGAATGATAGAAGCTCCACCTGAAAACACACAAAACTCACATTTGATTCTATATAACCAAGTGAGAACGATATGATAAAAGAAAGTTATTATACAAACCTTTTTGTCAGATTGTGCAGCTTTCAGAAACCTCCTCATGAACACATACGGAGTAGGCAGACATAAATTGAATTGCAAGGTATTCGCCATTAACTTCTCCTGCAAGAAAAAAAAAACCATTAACACAATGATCATCTTAACTTATAGAGAGCATCCATAGTTATGATCATTTTTACCATGTCAAGAACTTCTCTTCTAGTGTACTCCTTGTCAGAGATCACGATAAGATCATCAACAACCGGAACCGAAACTTCTTCGTATTTTCAAGCAAGCAACAAAGTTGTTAGGCTGCTAACACCACAAGTTGAGTGGATCCAAAACCTTGAAACGTTTCGTCCGCAAGCCTTGTGAGGTCGTTAGAATGTAAAGTTCACATTGTGCATGATGGTGATTAACAAGCACCGCCAATAAATAGACTCTGCCAAAGTTCATGGATGATCTGATTTTTTTTTAAAAAAAGCAAGAACAATTAAAGAAAAACTGAAACCAAGTCATCGGAAAGTGTTAAACGTTTGGTCGGTCAAAGGTAATACCACCATAACAGATTTGGAAAAAGAGAGCTTAGCCCATGTTTGGATATTAAGATGAGAAGGGTAAATGAGTTTTTGTATATGAAAAACATTAGTAAACAGGTATCGTTTCATACTTCCATTCATCCAATCGTTCTCCATAATTTCATATGTATATTTATCCTGTAGAATCAACTTGTTTAACTATTGCTTGATCAACTTCAATCACCCGTGTCAAAAGAGAATTCATTTGCTCTAGTACAAAATACAACTCAACCCATTCCACAGTTTTAATAGACAGAACTATAGATTGTAGTAGATACAATAAACATGATTCATATTAGAGAAGGATTATGAGTCTTTCTCTGATGAAAGCTGCTTAGCGAGAAGGAGGAGGCCAGCTGTTGTGAAGCCTGACAAGACGGCTGACGCATAAAACATAGCTAGAAGAGACCCTCTTAGAGACTGCGAAAAGAAGAACAACAAAAAACACATGACACAAATGTTAACCCTCAAAACAAGAGAATGCAAGTATAACGCCACAAACCTTTGCGAGTAACAATGCATCTCATTTGCATACTGCAATGAGTTATCCGGTATGCTTTGGATTCCCTAACTGATTTGCCATGAAAGTATCATGTACAATTCCAAGTATGAACTGTTTTACAATGTTGTTAAGCGACAGTTCTCAAGAAGTAATAAACAAGATCTCCACACATACCCAAACACAAATGCAATGGCTGCTCCGGCGTATGCTTTCTCTGGACTCACAGCAACCTGAAGCTCTCCGAACTGCAGTTTCAAACAGAAAAAAAAAAATCTCATCTGTAAAAAGTAGCTTCATTGAACGTAGAGGAGAAATCATATTATTATTATTATTAAGCATTACCTTAAACATCCTCGTGTTTGACATGGATTCATTACCGACTGAAGCAGGTGATGTATTTGCAGACAGGACCTCTCCAGTTGTAATCATCGCTTTAGCAATCTGTGAGTTCTCAGCAACGTTAGTTCTTGTAGGTATGGTTGATCATACAGACGAACCATAGATTGTATTATTGTGGCAGTTAAATTTGATAACTTAAGACTGGTAATCTGATGAATCGTGTTATCAAACAATAAGTATAAGAAACCACACCTACTACCATCTCAGGCTGTACCTTCTGTAATTCACCTTGACCATACTGTCCCATGCCCTTGAACCTTTTTCCGGCAGATACCAGACGCCTCCCAAAGGCTGAAACAATAAAGAGGTAAAAAAAGAGTTTTAGATGTAGAAAGATATGTACACCATATACTATAAAGCTACTACTTGTTACCTGATTTGGCACCACCTGTTAATGAAGTTTCCAGTTCAGGAAGTTTCTTCACTAAAGTACAAGAAGTTTATGTGCCAGCTTGTTCCCAAGCACGGGAAAGATTGAGCAAGGTCTCCCCAAGCTCTTGACCACACTACAAAAGTAGATTTGAGAGGTAAGTCCCCTAAAAATTGTTTAAAGGAAGAGATGCAAAGATGTTAGCTTTTACAAAAAAAAGAAAAAAAGAAAAAAAGAACACTACAAACGATTTAACAGCAAAGATGACATACAAACCACGGATGTAAGCGGTGGTGATCGAAGGAGAAGATCCTAAGATATAAGGGTCCTAGACGTTAACAGACATGTCTATAGCCCAGAAGAACAAAGAGGCCATATCATTAGTTGCTAGTCAAACAAGTTAAGCGTGAACACAAACAAGACGACAGTTCTATCAATCTCATAGAGATACCAAAGAAGACGAACAAGGAAGCGAAACAGCTTCTGCTATAAATATGGATGGAACTTTGTAAAGATGAAGCCATGTTCACATGATTTGTTGGTCCAATACTTAGCAGGAACTAACCTCATCGATGATGGGTCCATTAGAGAGATCAAAGGCAGCATCATTTAACTGAAAGACAAATAATCCAAAAATCACAAAAAGTTGTAAGCTTTGAGGAAACTGAAGTAGAATAGGGGCTTCCTTACATCGAGACGAAGATCACTTGGTAGCTGCTGGAAGTAGTCTGATGGAAGATCGAAACACTTTTGCAACAACACAACACACAACAAAGTTTCAATTTTTTTTGACTCATATCAATTATCAGAAAACAGAGTTTTTTCAAGTTTGCATTACAACACACAACAAAGTTTCAATTTTTTTGGCCCAAATTGTCTCGTCTGAAGATTCACATTACCTGCAGCGAGCTTTGGCCTGTTGTTGGATTCACAGAGAAAATAATTAAATTAAATTTCAAGGATAGTAACCAGAAAAAGCTCACATACAAACTCAAGTCTAGGAGATACTTACGGCTCAATATCGTGTAACTTAGCCACTAAAGTCTCCAAATGTTGCACTCCATTACTGTATGCCTTCTTTACACGGTCTCAATTCCATGATGAAAGACACTCGATTTTTGGTAGCTTGAATCATTGCCATAGCTGTTTTTAAAACTTGCGTTCGGTCTACAGACATTAGGACATCATTTATATATTGTCAAGCTTTCCTATTGGTATGAGATTGACATATTTAGCATTTAATTTCCAACTTCTCACGCAAGTTATCGAATATAATGTAAGGAAAGTAAATAACCTAACCAAATTTTAGAGATACGATTCTCATAAATAATACCTAACACTTGCATGCCAAACAAAAAATAAATAAAAAAAGAAAATTAAAATAAATCAACCAATCAGATTAGAAGAATAAATCTGAGAAGGTCTCTAAGAGTGCCACGTGTCAAAGTGACTTCTCTTTTAATGTATAGGGGTATGTTCCTCTTATAATTTATGTTTAAACCTCTTCCTTGGCTTAGTTAAGACCGAAACTGTTTTATTAGAAATACATATTGACATTACTTTAAAAATAAAAAATCATAGCTGACCTGTTTTAGTCTTGACCACTGAAACTATTCAGCTATGAACTTTTTCCAATGAAAAAAGTTTAAAACATGAATATAAAGTTAGATGAGGGGATCACAACGAAGTATATATTAAAAGCCAATATTCTCTCATTCAAAAGGGAACCGATATTGTTACTTGGATGCTTTACGTAATACAGTCGTCAAAAAGGAAAACTCTGTCTCTCCATTCTATTTGGTATTTATAAGATTAGTTCACTCGTTCAGAAATAAGACTTAGTAATGGATTATGAATGAATGGCGTTGAGGTATGGGTTGGAAGTAGTAGGTAAGGGTTGCATCTTTTTCTTTTTGGTCACGAAGGTAAGGTTGTATTTATTTATTATATATATAATCCACCTTTCTCATCCCTTCCTCATTTCTTGCAATAAAATTTAATAAATCATCGCTGACATGTGTCAAATTTAAAAATAAATATTACTTCCATCCGAAAAAATATCTAATGGTATATGCATTTTCAACAATACAATACTATCTATTTATTTACTAAAAAGTTAAATAAATAGTTACATATTTTTTTAATTAATAACTATATTCAACTCTACAAAATTAAAATTCTTCAAATTTTCTCTATTAGTACTGCTGAAAGTTTGTTAATGCCCTCAACCATTGCAATAGATAAAGATAATATAGCTCAAAAGCCACATTACTGCTTACGTTTCTGCGATTCTGATTGTATTCCTAGTATCTATATCAATATTATTAAAAATCATATTATTCTTAGCTCTCCATTTATATTAGAGAATCTGTACAAATTGATGGATACCCATTTATGGTAACTTTCTAAAACAAATGATCCATATTTGTGAAGATAAATTGAAAAGAGAAGACATGCAGGTTTGAAAGAATACTCGAGAGGGCCAGACTTGGACACCCAGAGAACATTAAAAAAATACATGATTTATTGATGCTTCCTCTACTTGACATCGTGCATATTGTACGTCTCCTAATATCCTTCTCGCCTCAAATTTTTCTTTACTGATATGCATCATAAAACAAGTTGCTACAAAAATGATCTTTTATGGACACCATATTTCCAACACTAAGCCTTTAAGGGGGGTCATCGTCGGTCCAAACACTGAGGGTACAGTCCTTGTATCCGGATATGCCCTCTTCACCTGATACCCTGATTTTACTGCGTAAATGCCTTTATTTGTCAAAATGCCATCCGTCTTTGTCTTGGACAAGGTATAAACATAACGGTATACTCTCGATAATCTTTGCATCGTCTGGGTCTATTATAGCTCTAATAGTTTGTGAATTCCAAGTTCCAGCATTTGCATTGATGAGTGAGTCCACTATGAGGTTAGGTTGAAGAAACTGTTGATTAGTATTTGCTAGTCTCGGACGAGTTGTTGGGAGTCAAAGATCATTACATACTGAAATGGACAATTCCGATCTCACCCTTTTGGTTAGTCCTTTGTTAACCAGAGATCTAGCTGACACAATATTATGTCATCCATAGGATGGTGAATATGATCTTATCGGTTCCAAGGGTGACACATTCATGAAGTACCGACCTTTTAACACACAGAAAAATAAGGTACTCGGTTTCTCGATAAATGCCAACATTATTTTTCCCAACAAAGTCGTATTGAAGTCCACAAGATTCCTTAACCCCGATCCTCCCTCTTCCTTTTGAAGACATAGTTTATCCCATGATTGCCAATGCATACCTCTGGCACTTCCACCAGTACTCCACGAGAACTGAGCCACATCACTTGCCAGCTTCTTTGTGATGGTCTTTGGAATCCAATAACAAGACATTACGTGATTTGGTAACGTTGTGGCCACTGACCTAATTATCACATCATTCTCTCCTTTTCAAAAAAAAATCTGAAAGTCTAACCATTGACTCTATTATTTAGACGATCCTGAACGAAGCTGAAAATCTGTGTTTTTGAGCCACCCATGTTTTTTGGCAAGCGAAAGTATGACCACATACCTTCAAAATTTGGGATCCCTAATACTTCCCGTAATTCATGGCAAATAGTTTCCTTGATCTTGTGCCCAAATTGGATAGAAGAATTCTGAAAAGTTGTCAGTTTACCAGATACTACCTTGTATTTTTTCAGAATTCTTAGGATAGCTTCACATTCCTCTCTTTGTGCATTACAGAAGAAAATATTGTTATCCGCGAATAGTTATGAGAAATTGACAGACATGCTCTTGACACTTTCAAATCCGTCAGTCGTTGTTCCCTTACAACTTTCGTACACATCATGAAATCCTATCTCGGATACTCTACTCTGGTTTTGGTTAGATCGAACAAAAACAGATGTTAGATGGACACTGAGGTTGCAGAATGACATTAGACTCACCACTCTCTTGTTCTGGATATGACACACTAGTCAACAAGAGAGGTTATTTATATAAATATGATGATTGAAACATATGATACATGCACAACCATAATATATTGAACTAGATAAACTTGCTGCATGAGCATCATAGAAAGCCTAAAAATACAAGTAAATAACTAAGAAAGCTACATAATCAACATAGAAAACATAAAACATACAATGCAGTAAATGCAAGTGGTTAGATATGGTTGAAACAATGGTGGTTGCAACCCTCTCTTCATGACTTTCAAAAAAGGCTTTTTCTTCACTCTTCTTAGCCCATTATCTTGATAGAACACAAGTCGAACTCCTTATTTAATACCCCAATACATTTAGTATCAATTCCATTAATTTCTTTCACTCCACAACTTCGTGAATGAGTCCAATAAGATTCAGAATAAATCTCATAAGCTGAACAACACCTCTTTTTCTCTCTGGGCTAAACCATGATATCATACCTTTTTGTCTACTGCTGGTCAGGATTACATTGTCTCCTTCTCCTTTGGTATCATGCATCCACTCAAGTCCATCCACATAGGTTCATCCGTAGGTTCTTCTAAGGTTGACTCGTCCTTGGTTGCATCATTCTCTCTTCCTTTGAAAGGAGTTGTCCTCAAATTTAAGCCTTCTAACAAATCAAACTCGTTCATAACCTGATTCCCATTCTTTGCTCTGAACTTTTGCATAAAAATACTCCCTCCTGGTTCAAAAACAATCTGATTCAATTCTCTGATAATCCACAAGTACTCCACAAGGTTGAACTGAAAGTATGTCATAGGTAGGATCAGAAATTTACAAGTTAAAGTCTTTGTACTTTCACCTTAATCAGCCAAATTATACACCAATTCTGCAGAAGTGGATGAATCTTCAAGCACTTACTCTTTTTTCTTAGTTTGATCAGGTATATGAACACATACAACTTATGTTTCCTTCTCTTGTTTCAGGCACTGGTTGGTTGATTTTGGCGCCATATCTTCTCCCTTCTCTGCAAGTTTTTCCTGTCCGGTTATAACCGTAGGCAAATGAGAATCTTGTGTTTGATTATGTGGTTCAAGCTTTATAGGCAACATGATTCTCTGCTTGGTATTATCATCACACAATCTTCTCATGATTTCAGACACCATAGCCTCCAGTTGCAACAGAATAATGTTTACTACTCGTGGATTAGCTTTTCCTTCTGAATCAGCCATGGGTTTTCTTAGTTTGAGTAGAAATGCTGATGATGGTACTTTCTTACGAGTTGTATCCTACCATATTGTTCCTTGTTAGCTTCATGGAAATCTTTTGGTATATACCTCTTATCCATGATGTTCTGAAGCTCCTTCCAAGTTGTGATTGCTGGTTTTCTTTGAAGCCAGCGTTTCTCATCCTCTCTTTTCCACCATCTTTTAACCTCCCCTTATATTCTTCTAGCAGTCAGTGATAATCTTTCACTCTTAGGTATGTGATTGTTCCAGATACATGAATCCACGTTTGCAGTCTAAGAAATAAATGTTTCAGGACAACTTCTTTCATAACAACCTAAGTATGAACATAGGGACGTGTAATCAAACCCACTAACAAAGAATTGTGAAATCAAACCTAGAGACTACTGAGCAATCGAAATCAAACCCAAGGAAAGTGAGAAGTCGAAATAAACCTAGACAACATAAACTGAATTGAAATTGAAAGCCTATAAAATAAAGAATCACTAGAAGAAAACATATGTTTAACGACTACACTATTGGTCGTTAATTGGTCGTAATATGTCTTTTACGACCAATTAATATTGAAAACCAATTGGTCGTTATTCGCTAGTCGTAATTCACAATTAGTGGTAACGTAGTCGTAATATTACGACCACGATCCGTAGTCGTAACCTAGTCGTAATATTACGACTAACATATTGGTCGTAACGTTGAGGTGACATAATTAGTCGTAACGTAGTCGTAATATAATTAGTCGTAAAGCAAACGTAGACACTGGTAGTTAATTAGTCGTAATAGCACAACTAAGTAACATCGACAGTTGTTGTCTATTGGTTGTAAATTAAAGACTAATTTATGACCAATGTTGATTTTATTTTATATAATACGATTTTTTATAATTTGCTTTTTTTTAAAAAAAAAAAATTTGTTTTTAATTCGATTTTTTTTTAAAACTAATCAATGTAAAAAAATATAAAATTATATTTGATT